ATGGAAACGTTTATTTAAGTACTTGAAAAGGAAATTATGTTAATGCTCTATGGTTTCATAGAGACAGCTTCAGTTGTAAAGTCAAATACAATTAAATTGAGCAAAGACTATGACAAAAAAAAAGTAGAAATTTTGTTTATCGTAGTAGAAGTCAATAGATTCGACACTTTGTCGTATTGACTGCAAACTTAGTATCAATCTTTTTACATCATTCATCCAGCCGGTTCATATCTACTACTTTTAAGACGTTGTTAACACAGTCGTACCAGTTATCAGATGTTATCTTTGCAAGCCCTTCAAATTAAATCCACCAAAAGGTTAAAAAAATCTGTCAATATTTAGGGGACCATCACCCTTAATCAACTCTTTGAAATACCTCAATTGGTCTTAACTTGCCACTAATTAATACCCTCGGTACACTGATGACGTATACCAAATTTGGTTTTTTCTAGTTTTATGTATTACGAAGATATTCAATGTTTTAAAAAGGCCTCTAACTCCCCGGGGGTACAACTTAGTATAGAGATAAGTTGCGTTAAATCGTCTTAATTTATTGTCCTCTACATGCCCCTGCTTTGTGTCGGTTGTTATGTGAAACACCCTGTATACAGGATGATTCAAAAAACTGCTGACAGACTTTATTAGACAATATTTAAAAAAAGGGCTTTTTATTGCAGATAATGTTTAATTTTGAAGAAGCTTTGACCCGCTATATCTCGTTAAGGAGGCATTTGCTATCTCATGTATATTAAGACTATTCATCTTAATTTTTCATGTATTATTTACTCTAGAAGTCTGTCAGCGGTTTTTTTGAATCATGCTGCATAAATAAAATTTCTCATATAAACCAACAAAATGATCACAACATTATGTTCTAATATAAATAATAAAACATTAACCAAAAATTAAAAAACAGAATTACATTTTAGGTTACCAAATAAATTTTTCATAATAATAATTGGTACAACAAAAAAAACTTATAATAACTACAAAATTACTTCCATTTTCATGCACGCACAATTCGAATCGTCTTACCAATTCACCATTATTACATACTCTTATTTGTACCAATCCATTGTCCTGGAAACTTGCGGTTCATGTATTGAGTCACTATCTGTACGTTTTGTGGAGGTGGTTAAAACCACATCGTTCGTTTTAATGCGTCCGGCAAAACATTCAGGAAGTGTGTTCTGCAGAAGATTCCAGGTCACGATGACTTGTTAACGTATGGTGGTATAAATAAGGTTGTTTGATTATTTGTTTGTACATTTCAACTAAGATTGTCTTGAGACCAATATCGATTGTTTTGCTTGAGAAAAGATTGTTATTGAGAAAGTCTCTTTATATGATATCGTGTGTTTTGAGAAACCAAAATAGACTTGCTTCGCCGTTCTTGTAAAATAATGCTTATACAGGGTGTTTCGGTGACTCGGGGAACAAATGTAACCACATATACTAGAGTGAAAATGATGACGATTCATGTAAAAAAAATTAGTAAAAGTCCTCAAATTGCAAAGATACAGGCCATCAAAGTTATGAAATTTTAACACATTTTTGTAAATATCTTAAGCACTATTTATGGTAAAGCGTTGAAATTTGGTACAGCGTAAACTAACATCATTTAAAATCATTAGGCAATTTTTGAGTTGGATCGGTACGCGGGAACAATGCTATACAGGCTGTTCATAAAGTTTGTTTGCTCAGAACTTTTTTATCCTATCATAACCCTACATTTATTTTTGCATTTTCTAATAGTAAATTTAGTTTAGAAACTTTTATCACTCTTAGAGAATATTGATAAAAACCACCGTTTCCGTATTAAATGCAAAAATATTAGGCTCCGAATTCAATAACACTAAAAAAAATAAATAAATAAATAATTTGAATTAGCAATGACAAGTGAAAATCGAAATGAGCTGTCATAACTATTATGTATGCAACATGTCCAAGTGTAGATTTAGCTAAATCACATTTTTAATTTGTTTTAGTTGGTTTAATAAAAGAATCCAAAAACAATAAATTAAAAATCAACAAAAAATAAACAAAAAACCAACAACATTAACAGGAATAATAAAAAAAGTACATAAAATAATAAGACAAGTAATAAAAAATACTAAAGATGTTCAAAAACTTAGATTTCTTTTTTTTAGTAATAGCACTATTGAAATCGGAACCCAACATTTTTGGATTTAACACGAAAACGGTGATTTTTATGAATATTATCTAAGAGTAATAAAAGTTTCTAAACTAAATTTACTATTAGAAACTGCAAAAATAAATGTAGGGTTATGAAAGAATAAAAAAGTTCTGAGCAAACAAACTTTAGGAACGGCCGGTAAGCATTGTTCCCGCGGATCGATCCAACTCATAAACTGCCTAACAATTTTACACGACATTGATTTATACTGTACCAAATTTCAGCGCTTTACTGTAAATAGTGTTTAAGATATTTGGAAAAATGTGTTAAAATTTCCTAACTTTGATGGCCTGTATCTTTGAAATTTGAAGACTTTTACTATTTTTTTTTACATGAATTGTCATCATTTTCACTCTAGTATATGTGGTTAAATTTATTCCCCGAGTCACCGAAACACCCTGTATAAGCGTTTTATTGAATTTATTCCATAATTTTGCGCACACTGTATATAAAATAATATTAAGTTCTAAAACACTGACTCTGTATTTCTTGTTTGTTATATTTCAGTCGATGTTCACCAGTACTGTTTTTGATTCTGCGGTGTATCTAGGAAATGTGACGTAATAGACAAAAACTGATTTCACCAGTGTACATACAGGTGTCCAAATTTCGATGGTTTTGCAGGGTATCTCAGTTAGTATGAAAGATGCGGCTTTCGCGAACCTGAGCTACTTTTTTGTGAAACTTACAATGGCGCAAACCAAATTTTCATAGCCCTCTTCGTTTTTGATATACAGGGAGTGTTTGAAATTTACGATTCTCAGACACCTCCTGTATCTCGGCTATCCGAAATCCAATGGTACACGTTGAAGTTTTCTAGTCATCACGGTTTTTGAGTTATAAACACAACTCAAATACTTCTAAAATACTTAACTCTTTATAACTCAAAAACCGTGATTGAAGGTGCAATTGGATTTATACTAATTATAAAGATTATGGATGTGATGAGAATAAAAATTAGCCAACAAGCAGAATTGCAAATGCACAACGGCAATAAGATCCACATTAGCCGATCAGAAATACGTTTGTCCAATTTCGCAAGAAACACAACGCATCGCAGAGATGAAAGGGCAATCTTGCATGATATGTACCTGTAAGAAGGACCTAGAATAGCAAATTAACTGTAAATACTTGTATTTCAAAGTTTCCACAACTTAATAGTTATAAGAACTTCAATCGCGTTTTTCTCGAAATAACTCCTAACTTTGGTAATTGGTAATCACGATTCTTCAAAATCGAAAATAAACGAAATATAATTTTCTAACTGGCCCAATATGGTCCTTTTTGAAGATTTTTTCTTTATTCTAGTTCTGACGATAGCTTGAGGTGAATATTTTATGAATCTCATTAGATTATTAGAATTAGATAAGCAGAACGGCCTTAATCATGGTTAAGATGGAAAATGAGGTGGTTTTGTATTAGTTGTTGTAAAAGACGTATTCAAAATACATAATGACATAATGAAATAAAAACATATCTTATAAATGCTCAGGATTAACATTAGAAGGTTATTATAGATACCTAAAATATCTGGATTCTAACCCAGAATCCCCCATTAAGTCACTCATTCCTCCACAAAAAGGTTGGTTCGATACCGAATAGGTTAACTAACCATGAATTCCTTCGCTTTGGCAAGTAACTTAAGCTACTAAAGCGAAAGTTTTTTTTTTCTCCAGGTGAATGTTGGTGCTTTTTCACTTTTGATGCTATGGTATGGAGCGTTATCTATAACAATGACTTTATTGTACTTTCCTTTCTTTCAGAAGGATCAGTTATGTGTCGAGTTATGTTAACTGTTTTACTTTGTGGATTATTAATGGGAGTAATACTGGCATTATTAATTTTAAATAATTAAATTTTTTATGTCAATAAATGTAGAGTCTTAATAAATGTAGAGCTACTTTATAACAAAGCTAAAAAACTGATGATTGACATCCAATAACCATTCCTTTTACGTTTTTGATGTACTGGACCCATTCCAATTTGACCTTGTAGATATAAGTCAATTGACTTAATCCGTTTCAATACTAAACGTAAATTTAAAGTAGCTATATTGTGTATAAGGAATATTTTCAGTTAATGCCTCTCTGCACTTAAGGATGCATCTTCTTTGAGAAATAAACGATTCAATTATTTAAAAAAAAACGTTTCTATAGATGTATAAATCTTTATGAATAAATTTATCTGCAAGTTCTCCATTTAACATTAATATTAAAAATATTTTTAACTTTGATGTATTAATTAATTTTGTAAAATCTTATAAATCATTAAAATTGATTGTAACGTTTTTTCTAACACTGATTAAAATAAACTCTGATAGAACATGGTTGATTTTGACACAATTTTTATTTTATGTTTATTATATTTTTATGGTAGGTCAGATTTTAAGTGTTTTTTGAAACATTACATAATTGTACTTCGTCGTATAATTTTCGCAATATTTAGTATGTAAATGTTAACAAGTTCCATTTACAACGTTTGCGTTGGTGTTTTCATAAATGAAGATACGTTCTTACATTGAAAAGTTTAAAAAAATCATTCTAAAAATTAGTGTATTAAGATATTTAGCAAATATTGCATAAAATGCAATACGACGAAAGCCAATAACCCGTAAAGTACGTTCCATGGTCATCAGCATCAAAGTTGTTTACAACATGCAATAAATATTTTATACACAGATAAGAATTATGGACACGATTATCTTTATTTAACAACACGTTTAAAAAATAACAAACATGCTCTTATTGTTCAAAATAAAATGGATTTTGAAATTCTTTTTCAAAACTTTTCTTTTCTTTTACAGAAACATGATGGTACTGAGAGTGCACGGCGATGAAATCGTTTTTCCAACCACCATACATCATATGCAAGCTAGAATACCACAAATGAACATGATGAAAGTCCATATACCGTTTACATTTAAACTATTAGAAACTACAAATTCTTCATATGCAGGTATTTTTTTTTTAATATAGAAATTTTTTTTTATATGGGTTTATAAAGAACTCCTATACGACTGTTACACATACAATTTCTTTGCTTAAAAGATACCATGCTTAAATACAAGTTTTTACTTTACTAAACTTTATTTAAAGTTTAATTTATCGCTTATATGTATCGGCTGCATTCATATGTATAAAGTGAACAAAACGTACAAAATGTGAAGTCAATCTTCAATATGTATTAAAATATGTTAACATATTTATAAACACATATTTATTTAACAGATTATAGACACATCGTATGTGTTTTTTGTCGTAAACCGGCATTGCTAATATCCATTTCCGCTAAGTGAACTTTACTGTAGCGGTGTTTTAATGATTTTTAATGACCACGGTAAAGCAAGTACCCAGGCAAGATATCACGCATAAATTACTTCGTTGCAAGAGATGACATGAATTGAAAGATATTTTATCGTTTGATTAGCAATCACTTTTCAAATCAAGGAAATTCATAAATTGTCGATCAATAGGTAATCGTTTATTCAGATCGTATGTTAGGTTATTTATGTATTCTTTTTGGTATTCCTTTAAATGCTACATAATTTAGATTTACCAAGGATCATAATTTGACTAAACTTGCGTTTTTTTTTATATCCTATTGCTATTTAAGGAACGTCTTTTTATGTTACCTTAAAATTCTTTTCATGTATACATGATTGAATGACAATAAGTTAGGATTATTCCGTTTGATTTCTTTCTTATTTTAAACCGTTTATTAGATCTTTTTGATTTTCAGACCAATTCAGATGCATTTTCAGGTACAATCCTTTTATTTCATCTTGTTAAATTCATCTGGAAGTGATATCAATGAGAATGTCACTTTCAATGTAACAACAATAACTATCTTTTTAATAGTAAAAGTAAAAATAGTAAAATCTATTTGTTTGATGATTTATTCGTTTTTCTTTTATATACTTTCTTCTGTTCTTTAAATATTCTTCAGAGTGTCTTCCTCAAACGATATCTAATTGAGATACACCAAGTATTACAATTTGATTAATCCAACGTCTTATTTTACATCAAATTATTATTTAAAGCGTGCTTCTTCTTTATATATGTTATATCAAAATTCTATTGGTGTATTTGATTAACAAACAGAAAAGCAATACTTCTTCCGGTTGATGTTTTCTTCTCTTAATCTATAATAATTGTTGTACTACGTAAAACTTAATGTTTTGTTATCGGGGTAATCAATTTCTAACAACCATCCCTTAGGACATACATGCTTTAAAAAAAACTAGATGTACAAAAAAGCTAAAACTACTTAACTTGCATTTGCTTGTGTCATTATTCGAAAATGGTATTCTTTTTATTCGCTGGGATTCTATTTTTGCAACCCCACATTATTTTATAGAGGGGTATAATTTTAAATTACTAAACAAAAGTATTATTTTAATTTTCTTTGTCATAATACCAAAATTTCAAAACTGTACGAATAGTGGAACCTAAAAAAGTTCTAACGAACCAGTTACTTGAGACACCCTGTATAAACATATATTACTTGAATTGAAAATTAAATTTGTGCCACTATGCGTTCTTTTTGTTTTACTCAATGATGTTTAGTTAACATTTCTAAAAATCTTGTTATAAATTAGACATCCATACATACATTTTTATAAAACTTTGTAATTACGTATATTATTTATCAATCTATAAGTTTTATTAATAATTTTGTACAAAATTACGTAAAGTCTAATACAGATTTTAATGATAAACATGGATGAATAAACTAAGTGCAGTAGACTGTGCAACCGATTATGTAATGTGATTTAAATATACGAAAAGATATAGAGGTATGTAATAAATCGTAAATAATTTTTATCGAACGTTACCTCAAAAGAATTTAATTGGTGAGGGATTCTTTAACCCTCAATCCAACTACATTTCTAATATTTAATCCCAATTTCATGAGCCATATTGTATTGGTATGGTGCCAGAAAATATCTGGTTGTCCAGTTTTCTCATATAACTTTATTATGTAAATGGTGCATTGCAAATGAAAAAAAAAATTAAGAAATGAAAAGTATATACAATTAAATACAAATCTTCAAAAGATCCCGCCCATTTTGTGAACGAAAACTATCCTCACAATACGATTAGAGAGAGATGATATTCTCAAGTTTTGAGGTGCCTTTACTTTTCTGGTAATAAAGGGAAGTCTGCGCCACCCTCGCTGCGAGATGCTAATGATATAAATAATTACTTTCTATCATACAATTTGCTATTATAAAAGTTTATACAACATATGATTAATTTGCTTTAACCTTATTGTCTAATTGCGATGAGCGACCTCTACGATAGACACCTAAAATAGACACTGTGTCTACATCAGACCCTAAACAGTTTTTATTGTTTGATCAAGAGTAAATCGATATTTATATTCAACATTGCAATAGAGCTAAAAATGCTCTCGTACCATTTCATATAACTATAGAAGTTAAGATTTGAAGGGATATATAGTTTTCCGCAATGAGTTAATTCACAATGAAATATGTAGTAAAAGAAGAGAAATCGTATAAAGAGTTACTGTAGTAAGAAGAATTAATTCATTGGCGATCTCTATAAGCGGATTTATATAAAAATACTCTGAGAACCAACAACCGAAATCTTTATTGCCATCACATAGACCATAACAACCATTGTGGTAGATATAATAAAATATTGCAAATTATCGCTCACTTCTGTGTCCTCGATCGTTACCTCGCAGCCAAGTCTCGGACAAGGCCAACGCATCGCCGTTATTATCACCAATTGACGCAGCCACTCTTGAAGTTTTTATCGTAAGAATCTAACATTAAGGTGAGTTAGCATCTATAAACAATAAGAGATCTGTTCAAGGTGAGCCTCATCTGTCTACCTGTTTTATCCTTGAGCGTCTTCATATATTTCAATTGGTTATGTTATTTTTTTGTTAGTGAAATCTTCTTTTTGTATATGTATCCTTTATTTAAAGTTGATTAGGGCAAGACTTGTCTTTTTTAATAATAATAATAATAATTCATTTATTGACTTGATAACAAAAACCTAATTCAAACATATAATAACATATCAAAATAAAAATACTATTAATTAAATCAAGTCAACTCGGACGATTGTCAGAGGAGGTTTAGATAAACAACTGATTTTCACAATCGCCCGAAAATACTATAAATAAGAAGAGAATAGAAGAAAACAAGAAAACAGATAAATCGAGAAAACACGCAAAACTTGACAAAACACAAAAGAACAAAAACAAAATTGTTTTTTCAAACAACATCAAAACACGAATTGTAATTTAAATGCCTTTTTGGAGGCAGGCACTGATTGTTTAGAGCGCAAAGCTTCCGGCAGAGAATTCCAAAAATCAGCAATTCTGTAAGAAAAAGACCTTTTAAACAGTTGGGTGCTATGAGGCAGGATAGACAGGCAGTTCTTTCTGCGGACGTTTATATTATGAACGTCCGTTCTAAATTTGATTTTATTGTGCAACTAAGCCGGAGTTTTGAACATAATAATTTTGAAAAATAATAGTCCCTCATGAAAAATTCTCCTTGCTTTCATACTCAGCCATCGTATCTCGGGCAACTTGTAAGAGATCCTTTGAGGTCCATCAACAGCGTTGCAGTGATTAAACCGAGAAAGTATCAACGTGTCAGTGAGCAAGGCTCTACTTTACGTGCTTAAAATGTGACGGTTGGCGTATAAAGACTTTAGCGTGGCATACGAACATCTAATTAAGTGATTGATATGTGTATTAAAACGCATATCCGAATCCAGCCATACCCCCAAGAGTTTTACAGTATGGAGCAGGAGTCTTCATTTGTGTTTTGTTACCATAGTTATTCTTATTATTAGCTTATGAATATAGAATGAATATAGATAGTTATCCAAGGTTTTAGACATCTTTTTTAAATTTCCATAAAACGTCATGTTTATTTCATAACTAGATGATATCTTGAAGAAAAGTGCTTTCAATATTCAAAAGAAGTATCCAGGGTTGGACCGCAGGATACTTTCTTAGAATTCTTAACGATCAAGATAACACTGCCGCATTCCAATTAATAGTAACTAAATTAAGAACATTGTTCAATCATTGCCTTGTTCGATATCGAAACCTTTGAATGGAAAGTTGAATAGAATACAGACGGAATTTGTAAGTTAAACCATCATGCGATTAAAGCTGTACAAGTTTTGATGTACTTATACTTCAGTTGCAATGTGACTACTGAGAGAACTATAAAAACTCACACTCTTTCAGTCTCAGTCATCTAAGTCATCAATCGGATATCTGATCAGTCACGTCATCACTGATGAAATTAAGCTCTTTAAAAATTGAAACCAACTTAGCAGCTTTGACATTGCCTAGCCGATTACGTAGTTTTGAATGGACTAAACCGTATGATGAGAAGAGTCTTTCTATGTTGGCTGACGATACAATAGCTGTATAAAGCTGTTGAGCAAGTTCAAATGCTGTCGTATTTATATTTTTCGTAGAACGCCACCATGCCAATGGTTTTACATTCCCAATTAGATGTTTAGAAAACATATATGGTTTAAAGGGTACACACTTTGCCTGGTAATTAATAATAATTGGCAATGCTTCTTGATGAAAGGTATCTATATATTCCATGCCAGTTTCTATTTGCTCTTGATTAAGTTTATTTCTTCTAAAGCGATGATCAAGCAAATTTGCCAAAAAATGAGCTGGGATCAAAGCCATTTACATACGCCCCTTGACTTTATTCATATCACTTACCAAAAATTCTCCATTTGCTTGTTGAGTCTCGAATGCTTCTAAAAGTTCTAGCCATATCTCTGTAGCCTCTCCTATAGTGCAAGTGTTTCTTTGGACTTTGTTCAAAGCAACTGCGATATACTTTAATTGTTTTAAATAGTCTTGGGTATTTGTCTTTAAATTGGTGTCGTTTACAAGCTTTGTTATATCTTTATCAATACTTTAACAAACGTTGACTA